GGTATTGTTATTGGAAGGCACCCTTTTGGCAGAAATCGTGGAGTCGTACCGTCTGGGTTACAACACTCAAGTTTACCGCCATTTACTTTAATACAACACATTTTTATTATTAAGATATGTTTTTATATACCTATTACTAATTAATAAATATTTTAAATTTTAATAACCTATCTATTTTAGATTGAAAAAATCAATAAAATAATTAAAATATTATATAAATAATTTTAAAATATGCTTCGATTATTTATGTTAGATTTTTACATGCGTGTCGAAATGATTTTGACTACAGCGATCCTATTAAAAAAAAGTCTATAGTTTTTAAATTCATTAACTTAATTTAAAATATATTAAGTTGGTTGGTGAAATTCAGAGCAACTTAAGTTAGAACCTTAAGGTTTCAGATAATTATTTACTTATCACAAAATTGTCTCTTAACTCATCTTCTGTTATTAAATATTATATTGATTGCAGTTATATAAAAATAAATTCAACATATACGTTTTATAATATAAATAGGTTTAGGTATATACGAGTGGTACCACTGGCGTATTTTAGGGGAAAGAGGCTATGGGGGCGATCACTTTCTCATGACTTGAATAATTATTGGTTTTATATTGGAACAGTATAAGCAATATTAAATATGCTACCGGAAATCTCTTTGAAATTTAATACTTATCATTATTTCTATTAGAAAAGTGTCAATATTCATCAGACCCTTAAATAAAAACAGTTCACAGTGATATAAATAGGGTTGAATTTAAGCTTGTGTTTAATAATTTTAGTATACCCCTCATACAGCTAGATAAAATACGCATCTGAGTGGTTAAACCATATCAAATACGAATACCTAACGTTAAGTGGATTCATGCAATACAAATATGTTGAATGTTATTATGATATTTAAAATACCTACGAAATACCAATGTGTCATAACTTATTACCAAAAATGTATTAAAATATTGTATTTTTTTTCTTCATATGATACAATGTTATCTATGAAAATATACTATTTCGTTGTAATACATAATATTTGCAGCCAAGTGTCACCAATGGGTGACTTCTTAATTCAAAATATTCATGCTACTATAATAATATCATCATATATACTTATTGTGCTATGTTATACAGATTGTGTATTTCAAATTGTAAAATAAAAAAAATAAATACATAATATTATTATATAATATGTACATAAATGATTGCATGTAAAAATGTATAGGTAATAATATATTATCTTATTATACATTAATTTATACGATTATACTAACATAAATTTTATGCCATTGGTGGCTAACGACAACTACTGAAAAGATGACCTAAAAGTGAGAAAAGGGTAAAATAAGGTCTACGACTGACAACCAATTATACAATTTAATTGTGGTGTACTAAACAGTAAACACGCATATTATTATTTTGAAATAATATTTTTTGGTATGAAATTATATGATACGCAATAATGAAACATTTTAATATGACTATGACAAATGTTTAAGTATATTTTATTTTTTAACAAAAAAAAGATTTTCACCTGAACGTTTAGGAAATGCCAATTCGGTATCATGTGCAATCATTTGTCCGAATTGTGTGACCAATACATTATGTTCCAATGCMGGTTTATCCATATCTATGAATAAAGTTGTTCGTAAATGTCTGGAATTTGGCAATTCRCGACCTGAAATCGCTTTTCTTTGCTGCGATTTACCTTAAATTGTAGTAATACGTTAAACATCGATATTATTTTTATTTTTTTTAGTAAACATTGTTTTAGTAAACATTTTTTTTTTTTTTTTTTTAAATAATATGTTTATTATTTATACTATTATTAAATAAATAATTAATAGATAATAGAATCAAGGGAAACTAATATAATAATGTTTGGTATTATACATAGTTACCATCCGAGTAATTTGCATCAATAATTCGAGTATTCGCTATATTCGTTTGTCCCCAAACTGGAAAATTCAAATTATTACAACTGCCATCTATAGTTCTGAATGGTGCATTGGGATCACACTTGGGCTTAGAGAAGCATCTATCGGCAAGGTCAATGTCTATCGGTTGTAACAGTCCAATGGATTTTGATGGAGCCATTAGAGATCTAATGGAAATTTTTAAAACAATACATTCATTAATAACATGGAATGCAATGTCGATGCATAATAATTTATTAATATTTAATTTTAATTTACGGTATCTTAGCTGGATTTAAATCTAAAACTGCAGGTTCATCTCTTATTATAGTCACATTATGAGTTCCTTCATCTCGAAAGAAATTGTTTTTCTTGAGATTATTATTTTTAGCTTGTAAGCACCGTGATTTTGGTCGGTTATTTTTATCTACGTAAATAACAATTATGATATGAGTTATGAAAATGTTAAATTATGTTTTCTTTGCCTATACATTTTAATTAAATGATTTTATTTAAGATATATTCACCTGATTTGAGTCCGGCTCCTTCATTATTATGAAAATTACACGACGCACAAACAAATAACGCAAAAACAATGATTCTTTTCATTTTTTTATTTTTAACAACTGTCAACTATGCTACGGTCACAACTGAAACGCATTGAGGTCTTAGCTATGTATGTTTGGATTGCCGTAGCCCTACTTACCTATATATAGGTTTGAATTTTAAATATCATGCTTAAACAATACTATCTTACAGTATTACAAATAATTACAATGGTATTACAATTTAAACTGTTGCGGCCATTAAATTGGCGCTCGTTACATTAAACATAATAATTAGTGCTTTTGGTCAGCTAATCTTGCCCGGCCACAGGTACCTCTATACTTATGAGTGATTATCACTATACATGCAAATTTGTTTAGGTAAATATTTATAATTAAACAATTATTATCATATTTTGCATAATTGAATTTAGATCTAGTTTGAAAAAGTAAATTGAATACGACCGTCATATTTATATATCATTAGAACTTATTTCAATCGTAGAATTATTTCGTAAAAATTTGAATATATTCCTCCCAATATGGATAGGCATACCGGTTTACGGCAATGTGATAAGGATTTTGCTTGGAATAAATTAATTACACAACTGAAGATGTTTTATTATTTATTTGAACTGCAATAGTGTGGTGGTCTTGTATTGGTAGGTCGGTAGGTTATATATTATATGTYTATGGATATAATATTATAATAATTTGTAATTTTCATATTCTAATATAAAAACTATATAAGAATTAGTTTTAATATAAATTATTATTATTTTGATTTAATTTTTCATTGTTTTAGCTAAAAATGAACATAAGAAATACAATAACATAACTCTAATTATTTTCATGAGTTGTATGTTATTTTAAGACAATGAGTATAACTTATATACGATAATTTAATGTTATCACTTAGTACCGTACAATGTTTTAATAGTCACGTTCATCAGAGAGCAGTTTTAATTTTGAAGGAAATTAAAAACGAAAATATTTAAGCTATTATAATAAAATCATCACGTATTTATCATAAAATTAATTTTAAAGAAGCAAAAAGCAAGAAAAGGTTATATTACATGAAAACCAAGAGTATTTTTTATTTGGACAAAAAGCTAAATAAATTATATACATTTTATAATTAAAGTTATAGAGTCGGCTTTTATTAATCCAAAAGGCGTACAATATTTAGAAAGTATACAATATCATTATATGCATGGAATCCAAGAATTGTATTCTAATWTTAATCTTCTTTCCAAGCAGACAAATCAGGTTTTGGAATRGATTTGCAGGATACCATTGGATTACTGAAAAATTATAAATACGATATTATCACAAATACAATTTTTTTCTGTTGATTAATAATTATTATTTTGACATGGATTTACTATAAACACTATTACCTAATATAATGAATAATTCAATTAGATAACTAAATTATTGAACTATAGGTAGTTTAGCACATAACTTATTCTATCATTCATAACTAGTATCTAAAAAACATCAATTTTAAAAATAACGATATTTCTATTTCTCTATAAAATATAAAATTAGATATCGTATATTGTATACAGAAACAGTTCGTTTATGATATTACAAAATACTTATATGTAATATATATACGTCAAATATTTCTTGTTTCTCAAATCAATTGTTATTTAGAATTTTAGACATGTATCTCTAATAAGCACTTAATTTAATTTAACATTCAATTTATTTCTCCATTCGTAAAATTTCAATTTAAAAATGGTGATAGATATTTCTGTTYATCCATTAAATGCTAGTACACGGAGCATATAAGGGCTGTAGGATTGGGTGGTGCGATCCATATATATATTATATACAATTATTTACGGCTTATTTTATCGACTACTACGCATGTGTGTAGTACAACTGTACAACAGGACCAATCAAGCAGCGTAGAACTACATCATGACCCTTCCTCCGTTTATTATTACTATTAGTATAAGGTCTATGATTTAATGTGTTATTATGATATAGGTACATAAACAGTTTCCTTTAACTACAATATGCATAGTGTGTCACAATGTGTCACATATTTTGTTTCTGTAAATTGGTAATTATCTTGACTTGAATTTGGCCACAAATACTACTAGTTACTATCTCAAGGCTTGAACACATCACATATTATTTCACCATAACCAGTAAACAATGTCAATTTAAAAATAACTATATTTCTATTAGTCCATCGTTATATAATATTAGATATTATGGGCACCTATGAAAAAATAGTTTGACTAAAATTACAGAAAAGATAATGTTGTGTAGTAGAAGGTATACTCACCGACTACTGGGTATTTCAAACATATTGCGTTGAACAGAATAAATGTCTGATGTTAAACACACGATAAGTGCTAAGGTTGTTTTTCTTATTTCATTTAGTTGTTCTGTTAAACAAAGAATATGGATATTTATGGCTATTATAACATTGGTCAGTGAATAGCGGTATCAAAAAATATTATATTATAATTRTATAATAATTTATTATACTTGTTGCCATACTTTAATAGGATTGGTAGTATAAGTTACCTAATTTGAAAGAACCAATCTGATTTCCGAATTCGTAATAATATCGATCACCATACTTGAATCTGAAAAACATTTCTCCAACAACACATTGGAAAGTATGACCTAATAGAGATCCGGGTTTTGATTTTTCTAAGAGGCCAGCAACGTAATAGTCGATATCGTCTACGTGTTCGTACATTTTCGATAAGGCCTCAATATGCTTTGTTAGATATGTTTTTCAATAAATTATAAATAATTCATTAAGCGTTATAGATTTTGATAAAATATATATGTAAATGCTATGCAAAATATCTGAAGTTTTACTTTTTTGTCTATTTGATCGATCAAACTGTCAAAGGTCTTAGCTTCACTCAATCCGCAGAGTTTCCTAAATTTATTATAAGGTGGCTCTCCGTAATCTCTACCGCGTTCCATGTCTATGCTGACTAAGTCAACTCTTTGGTGTCTTTCCGGAATTCTGATTGCGGACTCACTTATCTAAACAAATAATAAAAAGTTAGCAATGGCGACTGTARCTGAATATCTAATAGATATTGTAWATAGGTACCTCTTCTGTAAAATATTGATCTACTTCTTGTACATGTTGTGTAAGTAATCCTCTAGTGAAGCTATCATAATTATCTTTTCTTTGTACAATATCGGGCTTAAAAAAGAAATCACTYAACCGTATTCTCGATGTTATTTTTCGGGTTTCACTCACCAATCTGTAATAAAATAAAAACTATTACGATTGTGATTAGARAAATGGGAATGATGATGTATATCAGGGTAGTTTAAAATTTGAATTGTATTGACAATAGAAAACATCTAAACTTTAAGTTTAATTTACAGTTAAAAAAAAAAAAAATTATGAAATTATTGGAAATAAAATAGCAATAATAAAAAAATTATTAAAATTTGTCTCATTAGTTTTCATTGTTTGTCTGAATAGAAATCACTGAAAATAAATACATAAGCAATATTTTAAATAATTTTAGAATAAAAATAAAAATRTTATCTTTCCTACCTGGAAAAAAAAAGTATAAAAAAATGATGATAAGGATCAATATTCATTAATAGGTAGCTAAAAAAAAACCCAAAATAAAATTATAGGCATTCTGAATCAAAGAGCATGAAATTAATTTTTTAGCAAATTAAGTGTTTTATAGGATCAAAGAAAACAATGTAAAAGTCAACAATATCCTATCTTTAATTATGATGGTCTCAAGAACAACACAAAATCGTTCTTTTTATTATACAGGGTGTCCCACAGAGATCTGACATTCTGACAAATGAAATAACTTTTGTTCTAATCAATATTTAAAAAAAATTTCTTTTAAATATAATTCATAAACACTTGCGCTACATTTTTTAACACTGAAAATAAAAAACTTAAAAATTGATACAATTTTTTTCGAAATATTCAATATAGACAATTTGTAAATCTGATTTGTAGAAAAATTTATATGGTAAAAACACTTATTTAAGTCAAATGGCTGATTTTTTACAATTTTTTTAAATATCAATATTTTTGTTAAGTAAATTACGATCTAGTTTATCTTAGAAACCTTGTAATTTAAAAAATAATAATAAATTTTTTTTTAAATATTTTATAAGAACATTTTTAAATATAAGTGCATGTTAAAACTAATTATTTTATTTATTGTATTTATTTTAATAATATGTGATGTATAAACTATAAATTACTATAATGTACCTAACGAAAATATTGATATTTAAAAAAATTTTTAAAATCAGCCTTTTGACTTAAATAAGTGTTTTTACCATATACATTTTTCTGAAAACCAAATTTACAAATTGGCTATATAAACAAATAAATTTTTAAGTTTTTTATTTTCAGTATTAAAAAATAAAAAATGTAGCGCAAGTGTCTATGGATTATATTTAAAAGACATTAAAAAAAAAATATTGATTAGAACAAAAGTTATTTCATTTGTCAGAATTTCAGATTTCTGTGGGACACCCTGTATTTTATATACCTACTCAAGAAATCCACGTATGGAGCTATGCATAGATCTGTATGCAGCGGCAGTAAAGCTAGTGGTTGTAGTTGGATTTAAATATTGATCGTAACTATCGTCAAATCCTCTAGTCATTGGTAGTAAATAGTTTTCTCTGGCAAAGTCTCTTCCTGCAGTGAACAAAATAAAGATGATGTTAAATATATGCGTAATATTCGTTAAATCTATTAGTCATCGGGGTAGTAAATAGTTTTCACATTCAATAATATTTCATCCTTTATCGATTAAAACTAATAATAGGTAATATTAAATACATCTGTAGTGCATTTATCATATTTTAATGCAATATCCATGTTTAATATTTAATCTTCTTTAATGACATACATTTAGACAGGTTGAACATTTTATATGCTATTTCAGCGTGCCTACGTTATATAACAAGATTTATTCTCATTTAAATAATCTCACGCTGTTTCAAATAATTATAATATGGGTACATTTGTTTGCAATTTCGTTGCATTTTGTGATTTTTTTTATGTACACCATTTGAGTATATTAAAGTTTCACAAAATGATTAGATGTAAAATATGTGCTATATATAACTAACTTAAAATTTTAAAATCAGTTCAGTTAATTTATAAGATAAAAGATATACTTGAAACAAAAAATTGAAAGTATATTTTATTTGTGCTAAACTACTGTTTTTTTGCTGAGGATTAAAATATGTAGGTATTCTAAATACTTTTCAAAATAAGTATTTTTATCTGTACTTGAATACTTTTAAAAAGTATCTTTTACAAGACTGCCAACRTCTAATAYTCTAATATTGTGTGCAAGAATAAGATACGATTGCATTTATAGAATTGAATTAAGTTTATATCTCACTTGTGCAAAATTATTACATTTTCTATTATATGACCAACCTAAAATTATTGGAACGAGTTCATTGTATGTAATGTGTTGATGCATTGCGATGAGTATTCTTCTGGATTCTTGGTATATTCGCTCATCATTCCAATTGGGGTTCAAGCCACTAAGCTCATCACATATATAGTTATGTAGTCTCAACAATGAAGTTGTAACAACTGCCATTTCTGGATGTATGTTAATTCTTGGGTCACCTGGTAAAAAACAAATACATAATAATATATTGCAATATTATACTCACATAAGACATAATGTTAATTATTATAATTAAATGTGAATAAAAAGAAAAAGTTATAAAACATTTAAATATTGTAAATATTGAAGTAGAATTATTAAATACAACTGTTATATGTGTTCATTCACACACATTTTAGTTGTATCCTTTATTATTTTATATGTTTACTTAAAATATTATACAATTATGTACATACCACATAATGCAAGTTCAGCACATTAAGTAACGTGAATCCAAAATTAAAATAACATTTTACAGTTTTACGGCTTATACGTGCTTTTAGGCAAGGTTGAATTACACACCTTAAATATTTCGGCATATTGCACTCAACACAGAAAACAGATTATATTGATTTATTGTTTTAAAGTCAAAAAGTGGTTATGTAAAATTGCTCTATCTATATTTCCAATCATTACATAAATATCAGTCAGTGTTTGAATGCATCATTTGTATTTTCAGTGTTAATAGTTTTTTTTTTTAAATTATTATAATTATTGTTTTATAATATAGCTACAATTTAAAATAAGGTGGACAAATGGGTACCGTTCTGATATTCAGTAATTATTGTCGAATATGTCATTGTAATACTATAATGGATGTGTTAAATTTGAATTTAATGATAATTGTATAAAAAAAAATGATTCTTAACGGAGACCATCCCTTGTCAACCTAGCATACTTGAATAAATAATCAAATTAATTGATAGGCAGGTATAGTTAATAATTGCTAAAATATCTTATTTCGTCTAAATTTGAACTTAAAATATTTCTTAAAATAACTATATAGGTATATACGAATTTTAGATTTTGGTTATAGACTTTTGAAAAATCTTGTTTACAATTTTTAATCCACAACTATTTAAATTAAAATCTTTTACGGCTTTGTTGAATTCTGTTCAACATTGAACCTTAAATGCTAATAACATAAACTCTGAATGTGTACCTTCAATATGCTCAGCTTATATTAAAATAACTTATGGGAAACTTACATTTTTGTTCCAAGACTTTTGATTTTGATCAAATGAAAAAATTAACACCTAAAGAGTTAAATTAGATTGCCAGTTTTATTTTTGAATTCTAACAAATAGCCTTTCGAACATATTATAATTAATCAAATACAAGACTATTCGAAGAGAAGATTTATCGATTATATGAACTGTCAATCTTAAATTTTTGACTTTCAAACAAAAGATTGTCGAATAGGTTACCGGCCCACTTATAATATGTATATTATACTATATTAATAAATTGTTTATGTTTCATGAATTTATATTGATTAATATATTTTCACGAAGTTTTTGAATATGAATTGTTCATTTATAAATTATAAGTAGGTACTTAAAACAACTATTATTTTTATTTATTTTTATTAATTGTTTATGGCATCAACTACATGGTTATTAGCCGGCGTTACATATTAAATTTACATTAATTACTTACATACCTGCTTAATTTCTACTTATTACCTATATTTAAAGATTTACATTTTAATCAAAGTTAACAACTATTATTATATATCAGTTATCGCCAGATTTGCTATTTATGAATTTAATAACGAACAAGTAYCTACTGATCTAGATATTGTTTTTAAATTACAAATTACGATATTATTATTATATTACCTGAAAGGTAGCACACTGTGCTATCTTGAGTTACGTTACAAAGTTCTGTGGCTTTTTTTATATTAGGTAAGAACGATTTTCCGTTAGGTCCCAATTGTCGCCTGAGCTTTCCGTATTTAAATGTTCTTATAGAAAGCGATGTTTCATAGTCCGACCCATATAATACCGATGCGTCGATAAAACTGGAGGCTCCAAATATCTAAAATTAACAAATTAATGCTAATTTTTAATTTTTAATTTTTGTTATAAAGCTATATTTGATTTATATTATTAACTGATGAAAATTATGATTATATTCTTTTAGAATTTACCTACGTATAATGAGTACAATTACTTACTTGTCTGACCGGTTTAATGTTACAACCCTTATCCGAYGTGTCAAGTGCTCTGGGAATGGATAAGCATCGGTATTTTGACTCTGGTTCGTCGTATGGGATTCTAATCTGAAGGCATTCTTTTGGTAGAATTTCTGGCGTTGAACCATCATCATTGCAACACTTTACTGGGCCATAAGGTCCTTTTAAATAATTATATCGTTTAGATTTCAAAAATATGGAATGTGTTTGGAATTATCCTATTTAAATTACAATTAACAAATAATCATTCTTCTTGTATTTTGAATTGAAATATCCTATCGTACACGTATATTACGAACAGATAATTAATATATATATATATATATATATTGCTAGACTTATTAAAAAAATATATTTTTTGTTTTCAAATCATGCATAATATGGGAAAATAATGATATGATATATTGATAATTACCTGTTTTAATAAATTACATATTTTATTAAGATCTACAAAAAAAATAAAAGCAAAATAAATGATACACAATACACAYGTATTATTAATTTACTACCTACTGTTTATATTGCTAGGTGTTGGTTTCTGATTTTTAGTTAGCTACCTAATTGTTAGTAATAAAATCTTAACTAAAATTTCAACTTATACTAAAATTTTTTGAGTATTTCATTTTAGCCTACTATACAACGTAACATTTAAATCGAACAAAATTTAAATTTTAGTAAGATCGCATTTTGAATTTTTAAACGGTAACAATAACAACAAGAAATAAGTGAAGTTAAAGCAAAATTAGGGAGTTAATTTTGATTCTCTATTATTATAATATGTTAATATGTATAGTATTTTTCACTTAAATTTAATTAGGTATTTTATCAGTTTGAGTAAAATTTAAATAATATTAGTTTTTTAACTTGTAATTACTTAGCATTGATCAATTGACGTTTTAAAAATAATCAATGGAKTCGTCAAATTATTGTGTTTACTTAACCATCTCCGTTTTAAATATTTATTTTCAAATAGATACGAATCGTTTTTAATCAATAATTTTACATTCTGCATTGTAAAAACTATTATTATTTTTGGAAACGCTTACCTTTTTCTTTGATTAATGTGTTTGCTGTATCGTGTGTAATGATTTGGGCATACTGCATGACAAATAAATTATGTTTCGGTGAAGATTTGTCAACGTCTTTAAATATAGTCTTACGTATTTTTCKGACTTCTGGTAATTCACGACCAGATACYGATTTTCTTGGCTGGGAATAACCTGTGATTAAATAATTTTATTATAATTATATAACAATTAAACATTAGGTATTTTGTAATAGGTATTCAATAAAATATATACCATCTGAATAATTTGCTTGAATAATTCGAGTGTTTGCTGTGTTRGTTTGTCCCCAAGTTGGGTATAGTAAATTATTACAACTACCATCTATGGTTCTGTACTTGTTAAAAAAATCACACTGGGGCCTAGGAAAACATTGGTCCGCGAGACTAATTTCTTGTGGATTCAGAAATCCAGTGCACCTTGAAGGGTCCATTAAAGACCTATAATAATTATTATTATTAACTATATCATACTACTAAAATAATACATTATATATTATATATATAAAGATATTTAATAATATGATATAATTAAACAAAAAATAACTAAATTTTAACGAAAAATAAGTAGGTAGATTGGTATTGTTATTATAATGATTATAGTATTTTGATTTTAATTTACGGTATCTTAGAAGGATATGTATCTAATACTGGCACATCGCTCATTGTAAAATCTTGTGTCTCTTCACCTTGAATATTGTTGGTCTTTACAATCTCATTCCTGGCACGTATTTTTGGCGTACCATAAGTGTCTGCAACATAAGAATCTAATATTGTTACAAAATTATAGCCAACATATTATTATTATAATTATCAACAAATTKTAGATTAAACTATTTATTTACATGCGTTGGATTCGTTTTTTACATTATGAGAATTGTCACAGTCACACGATAAGCTGACAAGAAAGACTAACAAAATTATAACTCTCTCCATTGTTGAACTCTAATAAATAACGTGACTACTGTGACTGATATTAGTTTTATACATTTAGATATCCATAGTCCTATTTAGTTATGTATCAGTTTGACTGTGCTGACGTTTACATAATTTACCATCACATAAAATATATCACGTTGCAATAAAATAAATTTAAAATGTTAGCAAAYAACAAAATTGTTTCTTACGATTTAATTTAAATACAAACTACCGGTTCTGTGGTCTTTATGTTTAATTGCATTGAACATATAAGTGCATAACTGTTATGGTTGTAAGAACAGATTATAGATAGTTAATCAACAGTTATATTTTTAGTATTATTTTTGAGCTTGTCTTGTCTGTTTCTTTTTTATTTAAGAGGACGCTAGTACGCTACACACATATTTGTTGTCTTTTTCTTAGTAGTGCGAAATATACCAAATTCACGCTTAGAGGATCAAGTTTAATTCCGTTAGTTTGAAAATTAAAGTAAATTGATCTATTATGAAACTTTATGGTAAGAACATTATCGGTATTTATATGCGGGGKTTTTTTTTGCGATAACTTAGTTTTTAGGTGAGTATTATGAGTATTTTTAATTTATACTTTTTTACAAATGCATAACTTGCTACAAAATTGAACTATTGTAAAAAAATCCAACATACAAACGCATGTAACGTTCTTAGCATCAAGTTTCATAATAGGTCGATTAGTTCTAATTTTTAAATTAACGGATCTAAAYGTGATCTACYGAGAGTAAATTTGTTATGTTATGCACTTGTAAGACGGAMACAACAAATGGATGTGTATTAGCGTTCTCTTGTCAACATTTACGACTCTGCATAATATGCCAATATAGGATAAGTGAAGTATGTAAGGTATCTATATACTATCTGAGTGACAAAAACACGATTAATTTWAATGTCTTTACGTTTATATTTTTTTATTAGGTAGGCATATAAATATATAATTATTGCTTAATTCATTTCTTAGTAATTTTGTTTGTTTTAAAATTAGATATCTATTTTCACTTTAAAAATCCCGGTATTGTTGCTGGTATTAATACTATATTATTGTGTAATGTCGATAATAGTATCCATTTAATTGTATTTATGTTACCAACCTACTTTATAGCATAACCGTTATAACTTATAAGTTATGACCTAGTATACTTTAGTACCTATAGTAGGTAGATATTGTATCAGACCGAATGGTAGAATTAAAAACTATGATGTTTGGTTG